TCCTGCAGTTTTGTCCAGCAGCAGTTTCTGTGTCATTAACCAAACACAACTTTGAAATCCTACCACTGCAAGATTGTTGACATCATCCCACAACACTTAATGTTGTTAGCATCATGCTACATCAGCTCCCTTATATTTACATAATACAGCTTTAATCTGAGTCCTATTGTGTTTTCATCATTGTGTCTTAAATGTAACATTTCAGGGCGAGTGGAATCTTGAGGAGGTGAAAGCAACAGCAAAGTTACTGAATGCTGAGTTGGAGAACAAAAGTCAGAAGGTTTGTGTTTCCATAAACATTATGTATTTGTTGAATCAACTCTCTTTATGAATAAAAGAAAGTGCACATCAGTATTTCCTCACCATCATATCGTACAATATACCGTACTTTCTGGACAATAGAGCGCACCTGTATATAAGCTGCATCCGCTCTATTTTTAAAATTAAAAAAAAAAAGATATACAACCCACACCCAGCTATAAGCCACAGATATCTATGATGAAAAATTAGATATTTACTGCATGTACAGAACAATCTTGTACTGTAAATGTACATGTATGTACCTGAACAGATTATTTCCGAATAATGCCTTTTAACACGGCAGCAACTTTGCTGATTAAAACGGAACAGAACCAAGAGAAAATAACCGCTATTTATTTACCTTCATTTTTCCTGTATTTGAAACCACAAGTCACTTTAATCATCTTTGCTGAAGCCCATGAAGTCGTCTTCTTCAGTGTCGGAGTTGAACAGGCTCTACAGCATGTAAAAATATAATATAAGCTCTGGCGGACTTGGTTCTATGATAGGTCTTAAAGGGTTAAGGAAAATATTTGGTGTCAGACATCTTTATCAAACTTCATCTTTAAATCCATCAGCTAATCTTTCTAATATGGGTGCTTCTGTAAAACAATATCAGCAGCATTGTTAGGAATAAAGTTTCAACATTTATCACCAAACAACACACACACACTGTTTGGTGCTGTTCGATTTTGCCAGGTCATCAGACTTGTTGCATGAATTTGCTCTCATGCAGCTTTAAGTGCATGTCTATTGAAATTTTCAAATCTTTGCTGCTTATAAAATCTGTAATTTGTTGCTTGTGTATCACATCTCCAAAGAACGGCCATGATGTAAATCGTGAGGTAATTTAATTGCGTGCTTTATACTTATCAGTACCCCTTGAGAAAGACTTACGGCATCTATATACATCTTTTAGTCAGCCTCAAAGATGTCCTTGGAACATTTAAACCTATCGTGAGGGGACAGTGATTTAAGCTGTGGATAAATCCTGGTTTGTTACATTAGTTTAACTTAGAAGTGCCTTTCCAAGTTTGAGGTGACGCTGGAAGCAGCCATACTAAAAGGGAAAACTTTTACTCATTCTGAGAACATGTCAGTAACCTGGAGCAATGCTTTTAACGCAATACAGTTTTTTAGAGGATTGCGATAACCTCCACAATACCTGTAGAGCATAGGTGTCAAACTTTCAGCCTAATTACATTTGGCCCACGAAGCCATACCAAATTATTATTAGAGCTGGCCTACCGGTATTATACAGCTAATATATATATATATTGTTTAGTATTAAGCTTTGCTTGTTCCATATTCAGTTTTTCAGCAAAACTTGTTTGAGTCCATAAGAAGAGATTAATTCTTAAATCTGGAGGAAGATTTTTTTTTCAATAAATATTAACGTTAGCCCGCGACTTTGTTCCAGTTTTGAATTTTGGCCCACTGTGTATTTGAGTTTGACACCCCTGCTGTAGAGTTTTAATACCTGGATTGGTAGTTACACAAGTCATATAAGAATACAAAAAGTGTGTCGAGTAAATCTGGAGTCCCCTTTTTGGTGGAGCTGTATTTGTTGTGCCATCCGTTCTTTTGATAAATGGTCCTTCCCATGTGTCAATTTAGCACAATGAGGAGAATAAAGAAAGGAAAACAAAGGTTGTGTAAATATATTTTGAGGTCATCGAGACCTCACCTCTTATATACTTCCCTGCAGTTTCCCACACTCAGTTCTCCTCTGGGGTAATTTTGCTCTCAGCAGCCTGTAAATCTGTGTTAGGGTATGATGTTAATGTAGTTTTGATGTTAATGCTGTGGTTTCATATTCTGTTTAACTGCACATTCCAGCACATAAAATAAAATATTTTTTGTGTTTACACTCAGTCTTTCAAATAGATGCAAGTAAAACACAGCAGAAAATAAATAAAGTCAAAGACTAGCGGTCCTGTT